TGTCAGTCTTTGTACATCACAGTCCGTCTTTGTGTGGCTTATAGCTTGGATCATTTGTACTGACCTATATCTCAACTGAGCTGGGGTGTACGGCCGCAGCTGACCTCCTCTTTTTTACCCTCTTGATCCTTGCTCCACACAGTATGCACATTGTAACGATGAGGGACGTTTTTAAAGGCGACAACATGTATGCACCCTGACTCCGTCTCCTAAAGCTGCCAGCCAGCACCCAGGAATTTGCCCTGACATTCCAAGCGGAAAAGTTTTCGGGGTGGGGGGTGATTTTTACACGAGCGAATGTGTCGGGTGGCAGGGGTGAACACAACAGTCCCTGTGCGCACTCGTGCCGTCAATTCGTTGTCAAAAGTTCAGCACGTTTTTTTTTTCCTCATGCAGATTGAGAGTCTTGTGTTGGTTGAAAGTGTCTTTGTCAAGTCTAGTCCCTTTCACATTGATGTTGTGTTTTAACGGCACATAGATGTCTCCAGTGGAGTTGGTTTAAAGTGGCATCAAGAGTGACTGTCAATAATAGATGGGTTTTCTGCAGCCCTGTCCACATGTAGCCTGGTTTTAAAGAAATATCAGTTTTTATAAACACAAACCCATACAAATCTGTCACTGAGCGTTGCTGTAAACATGCCAAACCCATAGAGGGCAGTGTAGCTCAAAGTTAAAACCTTTCAGCCAATCAGATTGCTTCAAAACAACCATAACTTCCTGTTAGGAATTAAACATGGTGCTAGGAGGTTAATTTTAAATACTTTTAAATAGCGTATCAGTCAAAAGTGTCAAAGCAAGTACATAAAACTAACTTTTCTGCAAGATATAGGAGCAATAATTCCTTAGTAATAATAAAAAAGTACTAGTTGCACTTGCAGAATATTTAACTTATGACAAGATATTTTACAGTATGATATTAAGGAATTATTTACTTAAAACAAGCTCCAATATCTTGCTGAAAAGTTACTTGTAAGTTAGTTTTGTCTTATTTCTAGAATACTAAGATTTTTTCACTAGAAACGTGACTGAAACTACTTGGTCAGATTTTGTAGTTCTTGCAGTGAACATTGTGCTACTTGCAAACCTTCTTTTAATTATCTTCAGAGCAACTGAACTAAAATGTTCCTGTTTATCTTTTCAGTGACTTGAAGCTTTTCTGTTCCACAAATAGACAATGCAAACAATAAAGACTCTCAGGCTCGTGGCTTAAGTAGCAAATTGATACCACATATATCAAGGAAATCCATCCTCTTAAAAATATTGATATTAAAAGATATGAACTTTGACGGTAAACAGGAGAGAGAAACCGAGAGCTTCACAGACGAAAGAGATGGAAAGCTTCTGAGGGTGGAGAAGGAGAACAGATGCTCAGAATGTGGCTTGGTCGATAAAACCGATGGAGTTACTCATCTGCACTCTCGGGTTTCCCAAGTTGACCTCTACGAGTGCCGATCACATTCTGCCGCAGAAGAGGCAAACGCACACATCCACTGGAGCGTCACGCGTGCACACATGGCAGCTTCCCCTCCACAAACATGCACACGTAGAGGTGTGGCCCAAGTATGCGTGTAGAAAATTGAGATGGGTCAAGTAAGCTGGGACCACAGCCAGAAGTCTCAAGGAGAAAAGAGAAAGTTGTGAGAAAGAGCAGATTAAACGAACAGGGATAGCGTTATCTGTTGTTTCTCTTCACTGCTTGTTTTTTGCTCTGGGTTTGTCTTGTTTTCTTGGGTGGGTGCAGCTTATAAAAAAGAAGCCCTTCCTTTCCTTTACATTAAGACTGCAAAGTATGGAAACATCAACACCTGTTTGCAAGAGGCTGCAAGCAGCTGGAATTACAAGTTAAACTCAGGTGTGGCCGAATAACTTATACACACACACACACACACACACACACACACCCGTCGGACACAAAGCACTCATGCAAGGGTGTAAGGCAACAACAGCATCTTCCTATATAATTACTTGCTTGACAACACACGCAGGAGTGGATTTCCTGCTGCAAGACGTTATCAGATGAAGCCAGAAGGAAAATTCTTTTAATATTACTAACAATCAGACTTAACCTTAAAAACATGGATTAAACGGTTTTGTTACTGTTATACTTGGTTTCCAGCTGACAGATCCTGCTAATTTAGAAGCTCTGCACTTTTCAGTTTTAAAATGTTTAATGACAAGCTTGGGTTATGTGACGGTGGAGGCACCTGGAGTCTGAAGCCTCCGGGCTTGATTTGTAGCCTCCTCATTTTTTAAATGTTTAAAGCTGAGGGTGTAAGGGACAGTCACACATTACTGAACAGTTTTTCCTTCAGAACCGAACTAATGTTCTGTCTCATAGATCCAACAAGGTGTGCGACGTCCTTCTCAGACTTTTTGGTCCATACTGGCAGGATAACAACACACGGCTAATGCAGATTTGTCAACTTAACATTCATATAGCTCAGCATAATGGATGAATTGGAATAATGAAAGTCAAACATGTAAACATGTAATCTAGAAGGTTACATAGCAATCATCTCATGTGACTTAGAAGCATGATAAATGAATACAAAACTGACTAAACAGAAGGTTGAAAACTGATAGTAGCACGAGGATAAAATGTAGAAGACTGGAAGATGAAGAGACATTTGTCCTGGACAAAGGACATTTTTGTCAATGAATGGTGTCCTGTTTCCTGAGTATATATATCTTCTAGGGGCTGAAAGATAACAGGGTGAGGTGGGTAACTATGGTGATACTGGTGCATCTCTTTGTCTTGTGCTGAAGGTGGCTGGATGGGACATGATGTACGTTCTTCTTAAAATCTAAGCAAATAAATAACCCAAACAGAAAAATACAGATCATTCAAAACGATAGTCTAAACTTTCATTGACATCAACTCAATACATTTTAAACATAAAATTTAACTTTGATCTGCTATAGAGTACTTTAATGCAAACACACTCGGTTCACTCCTGGGGGTGTTGACCTTTTGGTCGGAAGGCGACCCCCTCCTCAGTAAATCGTAGCTGCTGAGTCATAGCTACCAGAAACCGCGCAGCGCTGCACTGATGAGCCGTTTACAGATATTTTTAACACTTTGCTTGAGACGTGCCATTTGTCAGACTGTTGTAAATCCTACACCTAAAATAATCACAGCACACAGGACCGAATGACCACATAGAAGCTTAGAGGCTTTAATAATATGGTTTCTGTAAAGGTATGTAATTCTTGAGCTAGCTGAATGCAGTTGGTATGGGGGAATTTTTCTGTCATAATTCGAGAGCACACATTTTCAATTTGAAAGCAGGATTTCATGTCTTTTGTACTCAAAATTTCTGCTCTCTTTCAAATATTCACTGTGCTTTCTCAAACCCGTGTCCTCGCGCTCAAAACGTGTCTCTGCTCGAATCAAATCTCCGCTTGCAAACCTCTGCGAATTATTTTCTGCTCGCGCTTGGAACAAAAACGTACTCTTGCCTGGCAACCTCTAAGCCAATAGAATGAAAGTGTTATACTGGGTGCGTTTGTTTCCTTCCAGTGGGCGTGCCTGTGTGGCTACTAACGATTGTGGCAGCCTGTGCCACCCACTGGATGTAGGGATTTGATTTGATTTGATCCGAGCAGACACGTTTTGAGCATGAGAAGAAAGATTTGAGAAAGCACAGAGAATATTTGAAAGAGAGCAGAAGTTTTGAGTACGAGAATTATTTAAGAAGAAAGACATGAAGCCCTGCTTTCTGAAAATACGTGCTCTCATTAATAGCGGAGAAATCCCCCCATAAATTGGTTATTTAACAAATACTACATAGTCAATAGTTCAGTAAGTGGAGCAGCAAAGGAAGGAAGAGAAAGATACCTTTTATAAGTTATGAATACCCAAATCTGATAACAAAATTAATTGATTTGCAGTGTGTTGAACATCAATAAAAGGCTTTAGACTTTAGCATAATTGTTCAGCAAGGTTGTCATAAGACTCGGTTGGAACAAATGAAATAGCCTTAAGAACAGTTTCCGGTCCTTAACAAGTAGGAAAGTGTTGGCGTTTCCACAAAGGACTTTTCTCATCTCTGGAAATTCCTGTGCAGCAGCTCATCGCATCATCTTGTAAATGTTTTCACCTCCTCAGTGAAAAATGGACGCCTTGCACTCAGCAGCTCTCCTGAGGTATTTAGAGCCCTTAGAAGCCAACACGCTGATTTCCTGTTAATGATGTGAGCAAGTGTAAGTAAGTGACAGGCGAGGATAGGTTTCCATATCCGCGGTGAGGAGGGAACGTGTCCGCTAATGGTTGGAGGAATGCGGGCAGGTCTGGATGGACGAACCTGCTCTTACGCTCATTAATGGTTCCTCTGGGATTTGGGGAAAATGACCCTGATGTGGGATCCAATGTGTGTCTGCATTTAGAGCTATGAAGGATAGAGGCTGAAAAAGAAACAGGAGCTTGTAGGATTTATATCTTCAATCTTGTATGTGATATTTAAAAACATGTTGCTCCATCTACCGCAACTTATGGAGGAGCAAACACTGTCAAGGTACAATCCTTATAAATAAAATATATGGACAAACAGCTTCTAGAAAATCAAATATGCAGGCACTGATCATGTGATTCTTGTTTTTGTTCTGTTTTTTGTGTATTAATTTAGTAGAAAATGATTTTTAAGACTCATATGTTCTGACGTTTTCTGGTATTTTGATCCAGTTGTGAGAAGCTGTCACTGATAATGAGTTCTGAATAAATGTACAACGTCTAAGACCAGAGGTTTGCAAACATGGTCAAGCACTAATTCAAATATCAGTAAATGTTTATAGACTGGAGAAGCTGGCTGTAGATCAAACAGAAAGCTGAAAGGAGGAAGAGTATTGGAGTGACACTTAGCAGGCCGCCAAAAGGAGCCACACAAGCTAAAGCCTGTCACTGGAATGCTGCTTTTCTACTGTAGTTATGATACTTAAAAATAAAACCTTATGTGGTTTTATTTTATTACCTTATGTGGTTTATATGTGGTTGTTTTTTGCAGCAAACTACCAAATTTCCACACCTGATGGTCGTTTCCCAGGGACGTTTGAGGAATACAATACGCCAGAAATCCTCCCACCAGAGGCGCCTAGTCCCAACACCACCACCACCACCACCACCACCACCACCATCATAAATGGAGACTCCAAAGAAAGGCTCTACCAGGGGATTAATGACAAACTCATCCCCATCTACTGCTCCATCCTGGCAGCTGTCGTTGTGGGTCTTGTGGCCTTCATCATCTTTAAGAGGTGAGTACTCCGTGGTTAAAGGCGTCATAAAGAATCCTACAAACAAAGCAATTGCTGGGTTTCAGATGACGCAGCACAACGTCACCCAATGCAGATGGAGGGCAGGAAGTAAATGCTGCCCATTTACTTCTGTTGATCCAGCTTCAAAATGCCTAAAGTCTGAGTCCTGCACGGTTGCTCCAACCGTTCTAATAGAGAGAAAGATAAAAGTTATTTTCGTGTTTCGAAGGTAGTTGGACACAAGGGAGTTAATTTTAAAAAACGAAGAGAAAAGTGGATCAACAATCTACAGCTAAAAACAGGAGGTGTGGAAACTAACAGTGCCAGAGTTTGCAGCGCTCCCTTTCTAACAGGTAACCATCGGATCATTTAAATTGTATTTTCAGATACTTTATTGGACAGGAAGACAAGCATCAGATACATTATTTTTATACCCTAGCTTGGTCAAACCAAGGTTTCTACAGGTTTCTGTATATCGCCGCGAACGGTCGACCTACACAAACGCATAAATTTGGGTTTACAGAAGCTAAATAAATGATTTACCAGGAGATCCAAGCAGATAGAAATAACACGGGTTAGCTTGTTGTCATCATAAACTAATTCCTTAAAAGAGCACAACTCACTACTCACCCAGCAGAAACAAGTTTAATGCTTCTTGTGATCCTAAATGATTGACCCAACCTGAAATTAAATAGTTGTATGCTTCAGGCTTTTGAAAGCTTTCATCTGGCTCATCGTATAACATGAACTAGACAGTTAGTTATGTCGATTGTTTTGACGCCGGATAAATCCTCAAGATTATATGAAAAATCTTTTTTTACATAGACAAAATGGATCATGTCCTAAACATACACATATTTTTTTTCGAGATACCTCGTCTGTTCCAGCCCATTTAGGAGATTAGCGTACTCGTTGTGATCCAGTTTGTCCTGTTTTGAACCGGAGAAATCCACTTCCTGACCTCCATCTGAGTTTTGCACATCATCCAGGCCACGTGTCTAAAACCAGCAATATAATGAATCCATGAAGATTTAACTTCAGTCTTTAAATAAATGTTGAACTCACTGGATGCAAAAGATGGTTGTTACAGTTTTTTCATATTTAATGAAGTCGTCTGCTGCTACATTTCAATATGGCAGCAATCTGCTTGTTTTATGGGTCACAGTATCCATTCCTCCCATTAATGTTGCATGCACAATATGTTTAGGTATTAATGTTGTATTAGTGGGTAACTAATAATAACTAGAGACAAGAAATAAACATAATAAACGAGAAGGACTAAAGAAAAACAGGAACAACAATGAGCTAACAAAAATAGGAAATTAACACGAAATAATAATAAAACTATAATCAAACTACATTTACAACCCGGAGAAGTGAATCGAGTGTTGTAAGCAGGCAGGTGTTGCATTGTCTCTCCGTCTTCGTCCCACAAAGCAAAGTTCAAGGTCATCCGTTTTTGTTTGCACTGATTTTCACTCAGGTGGAACAGCTGCAAGCAGAACAAGCAAGGAGCCAACAACTGCACGACCAACCTGAACCAGACTCCGTCTCCGGAGGGGGAGAAGCTCCACAGCGACAGCGGCATTTCTGTGGACAGCCAAAGTCTGCAGGAGCAGCAGGGGCAGACTCAGTCACAAACAGGTAACATTCACTTAAAAAACAAAACTCTGCCTTTATTTAAAGACATACACACTGTAAAACATCTGAGGTGCATTTAGTTGTGTCTGCTGTCTTCTGCTCTTTAAGTCAGATAAGTTTAGCGAGTTTAAGATTTTGAACCTAAATGTGTGAGTTTGTGTAAGATAAACCTATGTAAGCAATATACTGGATAGTTTAATTTCACAGTCCAGGTTCAGAAAGAGCCCAACACAAAAAAGGATCCAGACAAGGATTAAAGCGGGAATCAGGGGTGAAAGTTTGGGGTTACGGTACTGTGTACCCCTAAAGATTTAGCGGCGGTAGGCTGTACCTGCAAAAGAGGTCACATTGATGTGACTGGTGTTTTATTAAGGCAAATGTTTATTTTGAGACTGATGTCCTGTTCACACTCAATGTTTCTGAACTGAATTCATTGTGATTTTTAATAAAATTCATTATCAGAGCATAAATTTTCTTTATGCAATTTGAAACAAGAATTTACATTACTAAAGTAAAAAAAAAAGTTATTTTAACTTGATATTGTGAGAAAATAATTGCAAAATATGTTCTCTTTAATTATTTTAAGTTGCAGCTTTAAGTTAAAACTGGCAATTCAAGATTAACGAACCTAAAAAAATAGTGTTTCGACAACTTGTCTCTCGTTAAATCAACCAAAACATGGTTTAAATTGCATTTTCAAGGCAGTATTTGGACTTTCATTTCAAAGTTAAACCACCTCCAAATGTTTTACAGTGTAGTAATTACAAAACCACAGTGACTGCGTTGCATGCAGACATGTTTTAATTTGAAAACATCCTTTAGTTTTTCTCTGAACTGCTCCTCCAGATGAAGTTTCCCCCAGGAAAGAACCATCTGAAGCCGTCACTAACTCCATGTTAACAATGACCTTTGAGACTTAATCTAGCAAATCAGCAGAGCAGGACTAGAAAACTGACGGTGTTTGTTTTCAGAGCAGTTCATGCTGCTGCTCCTGACAAACCAGCTCAAGACAATTTATGGATTTCAAAGCATCTGTTGAGTATTTAAACAGCATTTCCTGTATTTTAAGTTGAAGGAAACATTCTCAATCAGTGCACAAAGAACAATTTAAACAAAATAAGAACTGTCACACATTTTTTTATTATTATTTATTATTTTATGCAGGGTTTTTTTTTTCTGCTTGTATGAATAAACAGGGAGACTCCTTTAGATCTCTTCCATGATCATTAAATCGTAACGTCCCTTTAAGGAACTATTGCTACTTGCCAAGTCTGCTTTTTGCAGCAGACAGTGTTTTGATTGTTATTAGGGGATTTTTTCCCCCCCTCTGTCTTTTTGGTTAAAAAGAAAAAAACAAGTCACATTTCAAAACTCAGCTTTTTATAGTTTTGCATAAAAGAGAACAGTTTTTGCAAAAGTCATGCTTTGTTGCACCTCAAACTTTTCAGCGGAAGTTAAAACGGTTTGCAGAAGAAAAATGAAAAGTTTTATAGCTGTGTCTAAATCCATAAATATTGTCTCCAATATTGATCTGAGTTATTGAAGATTAGATATTTGCAGATGCAAAGTGTCATTCAGAGAAATTAATGCCATGTGGGTCCTTGAAAAAAGTGACACTCCGAGTTGTTAGTAACATTTACTCAAGAAATGCAATTGATTAATTGCATTTACTTGAGTAACTTTTTTGAAAAAATGAACTTTTAGGAGTATTTTTACTACGCTGCACTTTAGAGTAATTTTGTTATGAAGTATTTTTACTCTTAATTGAATAAAATTTCTGGACTCTATAGCCACTGAATGAAAAACAAACATTTTAACCAAAAAATCACCAGACACAGACACACAGCTGCTGTTTATGTTAAAGTTTCATAAGTTTTTTTATTGAAAGAAACTAATTTAGAAAAACTTATTTTGCCTGATCTTGTTATTTTTTTCTTACTGATATGAATTATTGTAATTTTTGTCCTTAAAATACCAAAATTTCCACTGAACTTTATATTTTGGTCAGTCTGATTATGTAATTATTGAATATAAATGATTGATAATTTGATCATTTAATCAGTAGACTTTTTAACAAATACTTTTTTACTCTTGAGTCATTAGACAGCTGCTCTTTTACTTCAGTAAAAATATGTTGAAGTAGTACTACTCTCACTTGAATACATTTTTAGGTGCTCTACCCACCTCTGGTACTTTTACAGCAGAGAAAAACATTACACTGTATTTAATCAGTAGTGCGATGTAGGTTGCAGGGAAAAACACAACTTCACATCTCAGAGCTGCAGACAAGCATCAGAGAAAACAACAACAGCTATCTGTGTTTGAAATTTTGAAGAGGACTTGTATAAAACCTGCAGAATTTGCATAAAAAAATTCCATCAAGTTTCCCAAGTAAATAATTCAAAATAAAATAAATCGTGCCTAATTTCTCCCTGCAGTTGTGACCATCGACGAAGAACCGTGTCTGCTCCTTCCTCTCCATACCAGAGAGAAAGTGGAGAAGCTGCTTTTCCAGGGCAGCGAAGGGGAAAACTGCGACCACATGCAGGACAGTGACTGGTGCAACCTGGCAGGCCTTCTCGGATATGAGGAAGAGCGAATTGCGACCTTCCAGCAGGAAGAGCATCCCGTCCGAGCGCTGCTGTCCGACTGGGCGAGGAAGGACTGTGCAAGCGTCGACGCGTTGTGCACAGCGCTCCGCAAGATCAACCGTGACGACATCGCGCAAAGTCTGGTGCTCAGCCCGAGCGGCACAAAGCCCACTGCTACCTCTGTGGTGTAGCGACTCTCCGTTCCTGTCCGAAACAACTTAACACCTGGACCTTAACGTTCAAATATTCCAAATACAGCGTCTTAGATTATTCCACATAATTCCTGCTGCAGCTGCTTGACACTATATCTTTATGATGCAAGTCAGAGAGATGATCCTGGAAACCCCTTTAATAAATCACCCTGAATCTAAAATAAATGAGCAAAACAAAGCAAAGTTAGGTTTTCCAAATTACTTAAACTCACAGACAATGGAAAATTAAAGCAATTTAAAATTAGGAAAGGCACATTTCATTTTAAATCATGGGGACATCAGGTTTAAAATCCTCTGACTGAACTCGCCGTGGAGCAGTTGTCTGCTTTGAACACAAACTTTTGTGGATAACTTCCTGTTTGCTTCTTTCAGCTCCTTTATGTCTCTTTATCTTCATATGTTTGTATTTTCTGTGGGCCTTCCACTTATTACATTGTGTCTTTCTTTTCATGTTACCAAAGAAGCTGAAGTGTTTTTCAGACCCAACCTGTTCTGTCACATTATTTACTTACACGCCCTGTCAGACTTTTTGAATTTAACGTGACGCGTGGCTTGCGTCTGTAACTACTGTGCCTGTTTCTTCTACTCGATGAAGAAGTATCTGGATCCACAACCTGAGGAGGTTCTAATGGACTCATTTCAACTGAACCTGCTTTCTCGCTCCCTTATTATTATTCGTATTAGATAAAAGTGCAAAGCAGCAGTGCATGAGGATGTTATCTCCACGTCACTCCATCTGTTTCTGCTGACTTGTTTTGTTAAGTCTCCCTGAGGCGCTGTAAAAAGTGCAACCTGTTGGTACGTAGGCCTCGGCTTGCTTTTAACCGCTCAAACATCATTCCAGCATCACAGTTTCTCATCCTTACCCTGAAGATGGTAGAAACTCTGTAAAAATCCTATGTACTATATTTACATGACAAACAAGTAGATACAAATGTAGATGTAGTTGACGTACATACACACCTACAGTCTGTAGCCCTGCATGCATGAACTGTGCTCAGCAAACACACATTTGCATTCAAAGTTAATGTTGATAAAACAAGAAAAACATTATATTCTGCCACATATATGGCATGGCGCACTCAAACGAGGGACCACATACTGTTTATTGTTCATATTTGTGGAAATTTGTTCAATGATCTCTAAAGTCTAGTTGCTTTTGTTGCTGACTAACTTATCGCTCTGTTTTTTACGAACACATAGCTGACTCAAGACATACAGCTGCAGTCTGCAATGTATTTACAACTTCCTCTGGCTTGACATTTTGCTCTACACCTAGCATTTTCGTGCGTCTGGTTTACATTCAAAGTCTATGTTGAGGCGCATCGAGGGCACATCAAATTCGCTCTAGCCGTTGTTTTCTGCTGCTGGCCTATTTGTTGGAAGCGATGGACGCTCTTGACGTGTCAAACGGTTCCAATGGGACCACAACGCACGTAGACTTTGAATGTAAACCAGACCCGCCTGATGCTCCAAACACGTTTGGTGTGAACGCACCATGACTTTAGCATTTTGATATGATCCGTTTATAATCCAGTACTCACTTAAGAGGTGCAGCAGCCAAGACAGTCTCTCTTTTCACTTGTTTTAAACCATTAGAAACACTTCTCCCTCCGCAAAATAAACCCAAAAAATCTAGAATCCAGAGTAAAATTCTCAGGGACGTTAACTCAAATCTCAAACGCTCGACAACTGACTAAACACGGTCCGACATGACAAAAGATGCCATTATTCTCGCGACTGACAATCCTTAAAGCTGATTAATGAGATGCAGAAACTGGTCAGCAGAAAAGGAAGGGAAAAAAGAAGAGGAGAGTTTCACTTCTTCTTTGTTTGGAACAATGAACGGCGGATAAAAGGCAGGCCAGCTGAGACAAAAGTCACAGGATGCATGAGAGAAACGAAGACGTCTCAGATTACTTCAATCAATGCAAAGGAGAAACCCAGGCCTATACGTTAAACAACCTGTTCAGATGTAAGCATGTTGATTTTTGTGGTTTGAATTTAAGAATATACTTTTTTCATCTTGTTATATCTTATTTTTTTTACAATCACGTTACATTTTTTGTTCACCAGAAGACGCAAACGTAGAGCTAACTCACCCGACTCGAAGCACATATTACTATTATTCCCTTGTACACTGAGCATATTGCTGTTGTATTACTTTATATGAAGGTATTCTTACTACTACTAGTACTAGCAATTTTTAAACGGTATTACATTTCTGTTTTTGATTGTAGCACTTAAATGTGTAATCATTTATGTTTTATGCATCACAAGTGCCTGGGAACTATTTCAGGTGTATGTTGGTGTTGTACATTTATTGTTTAAGGAGTTTGTAAGTGTAATTCTAGGTTATTTTACTTGTAAATAATTTGTCTTTTATCTTTTATTTGTAGTTTTGTTGAAGCAGCGCTGCATAGTGTAAATGTAAACAGGGCTTACTTTCTTATTGTCAGTGCTGTCCTTGTTTTTCTCAGTAAATAGCAAAAGGAAATCGACTTCATTTATAATTACTGGCCATCAGGTATCTTAAAATTAAGAAGACAGAAATCAAAGTTAACGCCTTACACCTGTGGTTTACCATATTTTATGCATAAACACACAGAGGAGAAATTTCATAACCAAAGCGCAACAATTTCTAATAAAAAGCCTAATGAAGCTAAATGAGGCGTTTCTGTACTATCCTATTAGTGCCATATAGTAAATTTTGCTTAATTGTGAATAAGTTATGAGAGGAGATGCATGCACCACTTTTAAACTCCTGAAAATCTGCAATTATAAGTTTGTTAATGCAACTGCAGGGAGGCATGGATGTGAACTATTTATGCTAATTTTACTACTTTATTCAATTTCCAAATTGAAAAAGTAAGCCTTGTTTTCCCCTAAAATAAAAAAGTATTTTATCATTTATGTCCAGATGTGGTCGACTGCAAAGGTTTTCAGTTCTGGTGGTTGTGTTGTACTGTTCACACATGTGCACTATTACAAGCTGTAGCATAAAAAAATCGTCATATCACAAATTACAAATAAATTACAAAACATTCCCAGACCAGGGTATTTGAAACATTTGCACCAGCAAAAGCAAAATCCAGTTGAGCTACAATAAAAAATACATCATTCTGCCAAGAGAAATTTCAGTTATTGATACTTATAATATCTAAGGGATTTCTCATCCTCCTACTGATTGTCTGTTTGTTCTACATCTATCTTGGTTTATCTAAATTATGTCAAACAACATAAATGACTTTTTTTCTTGCTTTTTCTGCCTAAGACGCTGGCCTACCTGTACAGTTGAAGGTGAATGTGACGATATTGCACTTGAGACACAAGTTACAACCTAATTATGCAAAAAGGGACTGATAAATATAGGTTGGAGTGAGAGAGTAAGGGTGAAAAACTGTTTTGGGTAAAAAACAAACAAACCCTGATGGTAAACAGTGATGAGAATGACAGTAAACCGGGACTGAATTGTACAGAAACAGTGAATGTTCCATGTATACTCACACATATAATGTCCTATACTGAATGTGAATTTGCTTTAAGTTCTACAATAGACAAGCAGTAAATAAAGCTCTTTAATTCACTCATGCTCTTTATTGATCCAACATAATACAGAAGAGTGTGTCAAATCACAAGCTTCACACTGAATAACCAAAGGAGACGAGAAAAATATGTGAATATACAAAAACATCAGATTTGAGTGAATTTAGAAATTATTTTTTGGATTCCAACACTTTTATCTTCCACTCTTTTTTTGCCTTAAAGTTAGCTAGCAACAACAAATATTTTTTCAAATTTCCAAGGTCAAGCTGAACTCATAAATGTTTTTTGTAACATAAAGTGCTGGGAGGAAAACTTCTTAAAATGATCAGTTTCTCTGATTTTACTCTTTATATGTAAAGATTTTGTATTTATTTGGTCAAAATAACAAAAAGGCTGCAGTGCTTTCAGATGGAAAATAATACAAAGAAAACAAGATTATATTCATTTAGAAACAACAACACTAACGTTTTAACTCAGAAATCAATATTTGGTGGAATAACCATCAGGTTTTCAAAGGAGTTCAGTGCAGAGGGCTCTTAATTTTTTCCAGAGCTGAATATTTATTATTTTATTATGAATTCTTACTGGATATGAAAACAAAATAAGATCTCTTGAAAATTGGTTGGATATGAATTTGCAGATGAATCAATACAGAAAAATGCAAAACCAACAACTCCAGATCAACATGCATTCAAATGTAGTTTTTAAACATTATTTATAAGTGGATATGGATATATACTAAACAAAAATCCTTATTTTTTAAGCCAGGTTTTATCTGAAAGAGATTTGCCTTCAGCACCAAAAAGGCATATTCCTTCATCCTAACTAAACAGAGGAAGAATAATTGTTTAATGGAGTAACGGATATAAAAAAAAGTTTGTCTTCCTCATCTCATCAACCCGACTGCATGAAATACGGCCCTGCATGTTGTAATCGGTAGCCCTGCTCTATTATGATAGCCTGTCAGCGCTGCTTCCTTAGTCTGACGAGAGATACGGAAAACAAATGGTGCATGAAAAGGCAGAACAGATGGAGCTTCTACCAAGAGTTTTCACTGGATAAAAAAATAACACAAGACGTCATGACATAGCTCTCATAAAAATAAATAAACAGAAAAAGGGTAAAACCTTATTTTCACAAAAACTATAGCAAAGACATAATGATTTATAGATTTTATGACTACATTGATTTTGTGTGAGGTGAAATTTATCTTTAATTTTTAATTTATTTGATAAAACTTAAAAACTGTGTGTGTTTTTTATGGTAATAAAACGACATTCATCTTGCAGCATTTTGTAGATGCAGTCAGAGAATATTAGATTTGCAAAGCATTTTTACACATTTTTCATGTTAACTCAGACTTCTTCAGAATGTGGAGAAGAATTAAACATTTTGCGTAGATATTTAATTACAAATCAAGAAATCTCACTATCAATTAATGACGGATATTTCTATATTAATATGCATTTTTTAGGGAAAAACGAAATGTACGAAAAACAATGGAAAGTACTAAGGGCACAAGGAATGAAAAGGAAAAGAGAGAAGAAAATATATAAATATTTTGTATTTTGTAGAAAGTACAAATATGTTCTGTATTTCTTATTTTATGTATTTTGTATTTCTTATTTTCTTTTTCTAATCATCTGGAAAAAACTGAAATCCTCTCAGAAAATCTCCCAGACTGGAATCTAGATTTATTGAGCTATATCATCCAAATCTCATCTTACGTTTCTCATTTCTTATCAACTCCTATACCGATTATTTACAACATAATTAATATTCATGTCAAAACTGTGTATGTTACACAACTTGCACATGACTATTTCTCACAAATAAAAATTAGATTTATATTTGAGGTAAAGTATATTTTCACAAGTCTCAGGCTGTCAAAACTGGTCTCAAACAATCGTCTTAAAACCAATTTTACGAGCTCCTAATCCGTATAAACCTGAGTAAAAGTCTCTGGCCTGTATTCTCTGACCTTGATCTCTCTCAGCTTTTTCAGATCAGAAATGACATAAGCAGGTCGTAAAACGGCCCCAGCATCCAATATCAGTTTCCAAGTGACCCCTTCCCCAAATGGAAAACACATTTCCAAGCTAACTGCTGCCCCCCAGTGAGCCGTTAGCGGGAAACGCTCCACGTGTGAAGGGATCCATGTGTGCAGATGTGACATGTGGTGGTGAAAGGCGATAAGTCAGCCTGAGGTGAGGTGACCGGTTGGATATGGAGTGAATGTTAAAGAGAGGGAAGAAAAGACAAACTGCGTCGACAGGTTAACTTTCTGCAATGAATCAAAAGAACGGGACTTTGAGTTTGGAAGATTACAGGGACATTAGAGGAAATAAAGGTGTTACAGACGGGAATGTGCTGTTTGTCAAGCAAACACAGTAAAGTCACGAGTACCAATGTTGTCAGTGAAGTTTATTTGTACAGCACATTTCAGCAACAAGGCACATCATAAAAACATCAAACTACAACATTAACAAGTGTGGGGATCTAAGAAGATCATAATGAGGAATTGTCTGTATTTACTCTAAATCAGGAAAGTCAAACTCATTTTTATTTTGGGCCAAATCTGAAATCTGAATGTTCTTAAAGGGCCGGTTGTGCCAGAATACATTTTAAATCCTTCTATAGCAAAAGTTGCTGTAGAAATGAAGTCAATGCAGATTAATTGCATTTCATAATGATTTTATCAATCTGTTAAATGTTGTGCATGCAGTTTTAGTGTTGATGAAATATTAGGATAGATGCTTGAAACTGGCCTTCCTGGTGATTTTTCATTAATACACCATATATATTTATTCAAGTATTTACACAAACAAATGGAAATTGTTTGAGTTTTGCTGTTAAGCTGTACAGTAAGTGTTTTCCTGTGCTTACACTCAGTTCTCAAAGGGGACAATCTCACCCATATTCTTACAAGCTGTCCATCTAAACAATGAATTGATGCGGTTTCCAACTCTGTTCTATTATTCTGCTCATAATCCTCCCCATCACCTGCCTCTGTTTGCTGAAACACACAGCCAGGCTCTCCCTGAGACCCACACAATTAAGTGAAGACTGATGAAATTATCTGTCTTGTATGAGCAAATGGACGGATGAGTGGATGGAAAGGCAAAGTGGGATGGAGGGTGAGTCCATTCTGCTTCCCTCTGAGACCAGGGGAAATTCTATTAGGCTCATAATAGAGCCATTTTTCACCTTCTCCCACATCATCCTATTATTATTTAATCCCTCCAGTCGTTTCTCTTCTGTTTGTTTCTCTCCATAGTCGGTGCAACGTCATTACAGGGTTGCCTCTGCTGCCTTTTGTTTGTGTGTATTGTACCAAACATCCATCCTGCTTTTTAGCTAGCTTGATTAATTAATATAATTAATTATGTTCCCTAGATTACATAAAAACTAACTGTTAAAGTTTGGAAGCCAGATTCTGAAGTAAATGTCTGATTTGGAAGCACAGGAACAAAAGTTGTGTTGGTGTTGCTTGAAACATGGATAAATCTAATGAGGCCTTTAGTCAAATTTCAACAGAGAAATATCATTATTAATATTATTATTATGTGCTTCAAAACATCTAACTTAACACTCTAATGTTAATCTGTGTCTAGAAATGCATTGCTCAGGAGTAGAGTTGAGAAGTAACTTGTTACATTTACTCATTTACATTTATTTGAGTAACCTTTGGGAAAAACTTTACTTGTAGGACTATTTTTTTACTATGCTTTACTTTTTGCTTTTACTTCAGTCATTTTATTATTTAGTACCTCTGCTCTAATTTGAGTGAAATTTTGGGATTCTCTACCGGCTAAATGAAAAACAAACATGTTTTAACCAAAACTTCACCACAAACAGACACACACCTGCAGTTTGTGTTAAAGTTTCAGACGTTTTTTATTGAAAACCTGATTTGGAAGAATTTTATTTTGGCTGATTTGTCATTCTTTTGTTACTTATATGAATTACTGTAATTTTTCATCCTTAAAATACAAAAAAAAAAAAAAAAAATCCACCTAACTTTCAATTTTTACGTTTTTGATCAGGAGTTGAGTACGGTTTTTACAACATACTTTTTCACTCTTACTGGAGTAATTTTATTTTTACTTGAGTAAAAATATGTTAAAGTATTTCTACTCTTAGTTAAAAGTACCCAGTATTGGGGTACTTTACCCACCTCTGTTTAGGAGACACAAATGTCCACAAAAAGTTTATTAAAGTTTGTTTAATGTAAAGTTTTAGCAACTTTGCAACATAAAGACTTGTTTGATTTGATTATTTGCACAAGAGCCTCTATTAGGTTTATTTTCATTTCAAAATGCATCAAAAGTTTCCAGAGGATTTCTCTGAAGCCAGTCTTCCTTAAAACCCCTCCTTTCACACCCTGTTTGCAGATTAAATATAGATAAAACCAGATATTTGCATGCACCGAATAAAAATATAAAACATAAACAGTTTTCAAACTCTGTCAATAAATCAAATTACAACAAACCTCAATCTAAATGAGGTTCTATATTTTCTAGATTTGTATTCAAATTATTCATGAAAAAAATGACCTAATTTTGGACATTTTTGTAAAGCAGATTTTAAATATTCAAAAGCTGAATATCTAAGTGCAGTGCTGCCTGACTCGTTATTGACTCTATGAACTTGTTGACCCAAGGAGGAGTGGCGATAATGCTCTTACTATTCATAAGGAAATACTCAGACATTAACCTATTAATTGCATTTAATGTAAAACAAATGTCTTGTTCAGAGTTTCCAGTTTTTGTCTCTTGTGGCTTTACCAGGAAATATTAGTCTTTCCACCTTTTTTATTCTTTTGTTACATAATCCTGACAAGTGAGTCATTGAACTAAAGCTTCTGCATGTCATAACAAAGAAAAGGTCCACAGTTCACTCACCCAGACAGGAAAGTTCCCTCCAAAGCTTTTGTGCACCTGAAGATGAAACCTGCTGGAGTGAAACAGATACTCTGTGTCAGCTTTACATTACAAAGAGCAGGGAGTTAAAAGCACTGCAGACGTCTACATTGCAGTG